GTTGGTAATGACTTCTCAATAACTTCCATACTTGAATTAGTTAACCTAGTCCATAGCTTCTTAAATGAAGAAAAAAGTAGTAGGAAAAAAAAGATAGTTAGTCTTGAAGAAGAATCTGAAATAGCATCATATGTCAATAAGATACATTCAGATTTCCTTAATGGCATATGTGATGATTTTCTGATGATTTCTTATATAGGACAAAGGGTGATAAATATAAAGACCTTTCAGACATTATAACATTGATCATTTTGGATTCCAAATATAACTGAAAAGCATTGTCCTAAGTAGACTTGTGAGGGTTATTTGATGAATGGGATTTTGTCTTAGTCCATATTACAGCTGATTATTTGATTGTTTTTCCCGAATTTTGGTTTGTGTGTATGGAAGACTTACTCTATAACTGAAAGAAATTTGTTTTGTCTCAATACATTATGAAGAAAAAAACAAAGTAAGGGCCAAACTAAAGCCATTTGAGTATCTCCCTCTTACTAAAAGAATAAATACAATTCCTTGGGAATATTGTGATTAGTGCCATACAGCACAAAGAACATAGAAGAAAAAAAGTAACAGTAATGAACATATTAGCAGATTTAAAGTTTCTTTTGGTCTGTATAAAAGACAAATTGAAAATGGCAAATAAAAATAGGTTTAAACAGGCAGTTATTAGAAATACAGTCAATGTGGTTTCACATTGAATCAACAAAGACCCTGGATCTCTGCATTATAATAATGGTCTAACAAGTGACGATGACTTTTTCTTTTATTAATATCTGAATAAACAGAGACCACCAGATGATTGCTATATGTTATAGGGAACAACAATGTACTTTTACTTTCTACTTTTACTATTCTCTGAAATTTCTAGCTTTAAAGCTAATTTAAGTTTCCAAAACCCTGATAATCTAAGCCTCCTATGAAACACCATGCTAGTCAACTAAAAGAATGACATTAAACTGAAAATACCTAATAAACTGGGACTATGTGCTTCAGSCACTTAAGTAAGAATCAAGAAATAAAACTCATCAAAATACAAGAACTAAATATTTAGTGGCATTTCTAGTAGTCTGTGAACCTTTGGAACATCTCCGCCAAAGTTAAAAGCAAGTTTGTCACATTTTGCCACTTATGTCAAGTCAATATAGCCCTCTAGGGGAAAGAGTCCAAAAGTCTAAAACTAAATTCAAAACAATTAAATGTAGTCAGTTTCAGTCCATAATTAGTAGTTCACTTCTACATGCTAATTTTTAGTAATTTTAGTTTTATGGTAAGAATGAGATTATTTTTCCTTTGGAAGAAATTTAACTTGAGCTTAACTATACCCACTGCAAATTTATGTTAAAACAATTTTTTTAAAAAGTCATAGAAGAATATGATAAATGCACACTATTTTTGAGTATTGTAATAGATAATGAAACTCTCAAAGTAAGTGCTTTCAATAGAATTTTTTAATAATTTCATGTCTATTGATATATATGTATATATATGTAACACACACAAATATATTCATACATACACATATATTATATTCCTTAAAAGAATAAAATAACAGAATAGRTGTTGTAAAATAAGTAAATATTTTATGAGCATAATTTTGGCAAAGAAAGATTGTTATATATAAGTCAAATTTTTAAATGAATATATCACATAATAAAAATATAAATTTACCAGAACTTGTAAGGAAATCAATGAATTGTATTCCTTTTCTGAGTTTGAGTCTAGTAAAATACCATGTGCTTATCTACTATTATATCACCTTCATAATTTTATTATTGTTTAGAGTTTATTATAGTTATTATGTATTTATTATACATTCTATTTCCTAGCATTTCCCCTTTCCCACCGCCAGCATTCTTTAACTTTTTTGTCACATGTACATTTTTTTCTCATTTGTCTGATTTTTTTTCCTCCTTTATGTGGAAATAAAATTCTCACAAAAAAATTGAGAATTCTTTCCTTTCAACCTGAGAATTATAACTGCATYTTATAAGGACCACAAATTCCAATTAATACTAGAATGGTTTTTCCCTAAAAYTCTGTATTTTTTACTTGCCTGTTAATTACATGGAAAAGAATTATCATCTTAAATTATATAGATTCTCTCAAGAATGAGATGCTAGATTCTATATTGATGCAACACTTGGGAAAAGGTTTTTAATATGATATAAATAACCATACTTAATCATTTAATCATTAGCTTTTCAAAAACTATCAGCCAGGGTCAAAGACTATCCTAGATAAATGCAAAATTTACATCTTGAACAAAAAAACCCTACTTTTTTCTTGAATTTTTAAAATTCGGACAGTTCATTCATGGTTTGATGTCATACACACACACAAAAATCATATCTATCAAATGCTCAGAACATCTGCTGAGGCCAATTACAAATACGAAATAAATTACTCAAGAAAGAAATATATATTTAGAAAACAATCTTAAAGGAACTTGAAAGAAATGCTAAAATTTCCTGAAAGAAGTTTTATATAAAAACCACATATATTGCAGACAACCTTACTCAAATTAATGCTTTAAAAATKCAAACATTAAAAACTACAACCCACTTTCTGTAATGATATTATTTAATAAGCATTCAGCCATGATGGCATTAAAACTAAGACTTTGAGGATTTACTTAAAGTTAACATTTTTTGTGGAAATTTGTTTTTATTTGATCTGGAATGCTGATACTGAGAAAAAATCTTATTTTGATCTTTTAAATAGGTTTGCAAGGATTTTACAGTGTGTACCACGAAAATGTGGATAAAAGCATTAACCAAAAGTCAACACAGKGTCAGCTCTGACTACAAATGTTTGTTTTTCACTGTATTTATGCCATGACTAGATGAATGAAAATGAATCTTCCTTGGTATATAAGGTATCCAAGGTCTAAGTAATACACTTTGGAGTCTGAACAAGCCAGATAGTCAAAGACATATACAGCATATGTTTATTTATTGAGCACACGGCTAAAACAATAAACAGTCAATTCCTATATTTAGTTCATCAAAGAAATATCTTTCAAAGACATTATGCAAGATAGGTTATGAAAGCTACCTCCCAGAGTTTTCTCCCAAAGGAACACAATGCTTAGTGATTGCTCAATATGCTTTCAACAGGACAATGGAAAATTCATAGTAGAATCAAGTCAGGTTGAAAGATGTTGCATAGGAAGCCTGAAGCCAGAGGATTAAAGCTAATATTTTTCTGATTTTTTTTTCTGATTCACATTTACTGAATTCTTGTGATGTCTACTCTGTCAGTTTACATGTGTTATCAATTCTTTCATCTGAATGTATACAAAGGGAACAAATATTTTTTTTCTTATTTCTATCCAACTCTTTAGCATTTCTTTTACTTTCCTCTCAGGTTACAGAGTGAATGAAGAAATATATAATGTATTAAATGAGGGAAATTTCATATATACATATATGTGTGTGTGTGTTTATGTGTGTGCATTGTTTTCTCATGAAAAAAATGCTATGGACATGCATTTAATGTGGATAAAAGCATATAGGGTATTCAGAGTGATGCACTGCTTTGCTCAGATAACAAATCATTTGAGTACCTCTTGAATGTTTATTTCAGTTTTATCAATCAGAACCAACTTGGGACCTAACGGCACACATTTTGTTATTTTTGATTTTTTGTTTCCAGTACTAGGGATTGAATACAGGGCCTCACTTCTACAAAGTAAGTGCTCTAACATCCACCTACATCCCAAGCCCCATTTTCTTATTCTTCAGAGATACCCTCTTGACTTAACTGACATATGCAACAATTCAAATTAATTATTTTGGTCAAGGTTTGATAATCAGCAGTATTCCCTCATTAACCCCTGTATTCCACAATCTCCAAACTTATTATATGAATTAAGTCCCATTTGATTCATTCAAACATAACCTATTTCTTTGTGAGTACTGGTGACAAGGACATGCTCATTGACCAAAGCCCACATGAGGTAGGAATGAGGAGACAAACTTAGAGTACACTGGGATGGAGAGCTGAGGTAAATCAAACTCACCCTATACTGGCACTAAGAGTTGTAGTAACAGGGAGCTTACTGTGCACTGGGACAGAGTTCTGGTAACAGGGGAAGTTACAATTGTGTGGCCTTCAATGCCAGATACCTGTTGTCAGACAAAAAGGAGTTCTAAGTAGCTTTTAGTCTTGGGAAGTTTGTTGCCACCTACTGGGTTGAATTATTATATCAGCTATGGGTGTCTTTCTTTTGCTTTACCAGAAAAGAAAGACTTCCATGTTGACTTGTTTAAAAGTGAATATTTAAGAGAAAATTGAAGTTCAAAGAAGAGTGTATTTCATACTCTTCAATAACTACTCCAAAATAATTCCAAGTTCTCCACATGGAAAAGAGATATGTTTACATGTCATTGTGTAGTAGTGCTGTAGTARTTATTAGTAGTTATCTTAATTTTAATAAATGAATTTAGTGCAGAAAAATTCATTCCATGCATTTTTAATAATAATAGTGGAAATAATGGAAAAAATATGCAAAAAATGCAGCTGTGATACCAAACAAGCAAATAAGCAAGCAAATAAAACCTACCTGATCACGTTAAATAAATGAATTAAACACATACACACATATACACACATACACACACACACACACACACACACACACACACACATACATACTTGATGGAAACAAAACAACTAAAGTAAAGATCTGTGCTACAATGATACAGTATATAAGATTATATAATATTTTATTATAAATGAATTGCGCTAGAAATGTATTTTTAGTGAAAGAAATTCAATTTAAAACTTTTATTTTTGGACTATAGATGTGTCTGTTAAGAAAACCTTCACTTTCAGTTTAAAGCTAGAAAAGTGTTTTGAGCTGTGTTATATTTTATATCCTGACCTTCTAGTTTATGGGGAAGTTTTCTCAGAGTTATCAGTCAACTTTGCCCTTAGCTGTGAAGATAATGGACAGAGTGAGGCCTAAAATAYACAGTTTGGTTGGGCATGGCACTTACCTGCTTGATTTGTGGTTACATTTACAGACACATACTGCCGCGCTCCTGGGCTCAAGTCGGATACTCCATTCACTGCCTCAATCTCAAAGGTATAGTTTGTGTGAGCGAGCAGATCCACCATCATGACAGAGGTGTTTTTCAGGCCGATTTGCTGGGGGAGGTACCTGACATGACCGCCACACTCCTCACAAACCCCTGCATGGGAGTTGCACTTCTTGCATGCAATATAATATGACACATCTTTCCTTCCACCAGTGTCAGCAGGAGGAATCCATTCCAGAAAGACACTAGTTTCATTAACATTTGAGATGGCATTCCGAGGAGCTGAGGGGGGTCCTGGTTTGCAAAGTAAAGTGAGAAAAACATATTTTAAGATGATATTAATGAAGCATCATTTACTACCCTAATCCCTTACCTGAAGGAAAAAATAGGTTTAAAATTCATCTTTGAGGGTTACAATTTGTTATTATTTTTGAAAAGTCTTATTGCTTTTTTGTAGGAAAGGTAGTAAGGTTTATGACCTGGAGAAATGATTTAGCTYGGCTTTGTTGTAACACTAGTTTAGGAAAAGCAGATGTTTTGCTTAGTATATATGCAAATAATTATGGATTAAAACTATGTATCCTCAAATAATATTAAGTAAAATGTTATATTTAAAATGTGGTAAATGGATCTCTGTGGGGATTGAACTGATTATTTCCTCACTCATACCAAGAGGTAGGTAAACATGAAGAATCTACCATGTCATCGGCACAGGTTAAAATAAGATTTTTCAGTGTCACTCTTGACAACAAGTTATAAAGTAAGTAAAAAGGTAACTCAAGAGACATTACAGATCTCTCTTATAAATCACCAATGAAATTAAAAACCCTCTTAAGTAAACACTTGGATTTAAGTGGTGGAACAACATCACCATGTGTGGCAAAATCTCTTTTTACTTACTATTCTTTTCATATTGTAGGCATGTAAGTTGTGAATTTTACTTAATTGAAAGTCTAAAATTCATTTTAAGGCTTATCCTCAAAGGCCGTATAATAGAAAAAGTTAAAAGGGTTCAGATTTTGAAGAATCAGTAGAAAAAAATTCGATCTACAACTTACCACAATAAGAAAAAAAATACATTTAACTAAAATATATTCATAGAATCATAATGTCTTAGACTGGGACTAATATAACTTTTCTAACTTCATGCTGCTACTTCTTAGATGTTTTATCTTTATATGATAATAAAAATTGGTTGTAATTTTAAAAACATCTTATATTCATAATCATCTTATTTAATCAAGACAGAGTATTTCACTAAAATATAGTAATAAAGTTCACACTTTGAATAACTTAYAGAATTTCTCAAGTGAAGGGTAACATATCCTATTTTAATATTATTTTAATTATTTATGAATCTAATAATTGACATACTAAAGACAATTGAAATTGATTGCATGATGTCTAAAACTCAATTTTTAGATACAGTTAAAACCTCAGTCAGTTATAAAAGTTTATAATCAGATATCTTCAAAAAGCAAATATATTTATATCAGTTTCTGAGAACAAATTCATATTTCTTTCCCTCAGAGAATAAAATGGAGTATGGWAATATTTAAATGGTTCAAAAGCATGCATTAAGCTACTTACAAGGATTTAGTGAAATTATACTATATGTGCTATTTGTTCTAAATATAAAAATTAGCAATAATTTCTACTTAACATTTCAAGCCACGATTATTGAGGAGCAAATTTTAAAATGATTTAAAAAAGTATCCTCGTATTCAGGGAGTTAGCTGTAAAAAGTTGTCATCTAAATTAGAGAAAACCATAACTAAAGAGTTGACTTTATTTTATTTTTTGAAAAAACAGTCCCACTATGATGGTATTTATAGTTGAACCCTATGACTTTTTCCAGATGTTCAAATTACACACTTCAATGTAAAATTCACTTTTAAATTGCAGCAATTAGTTGAGATAGAAATGTAAGTATTATTGGTTATTACAAAATTTAGGTTATTTAGTAGTCAAAAAATGGAAATTTTAAAAATTTGCAATAAAAGTGTTACATGCTAAATTTCTAAGAAAGAGATAAAATGTAGCCAAAATATGTCTAGTTTATAAAGACTTTTATTTTTTCCTTGCCAACTGAAATATACTCACATTAAAACCATTGTTTTTTTAAATCTATAAAAACATATTAGTCTGACTCTTTTGTTTTGATTGCTACCACCTCACTCACAACTTAGATGGGACACATATGCCTCCAAAGTTAAAAATTTAAAAAATCAAGTGACATAGAGGTAAAAATTAGAGGCTCTATGTTCGCATACTCTTAAGGATTCCAGTGCCCCAATAATAGATATGATGTGTAACCTAAAGTGAAGCTGTGAGAAGAACCCTTGGTTTAAGTCAGTTTGTCAGAATTTTAGTTCTTATTTTKGGAATTTTGCTCTGTAGATTAAAATAAATTTCTCATTTCCAGGTTTTATATATTTTTTTCAAAAAAATATTAAAATGAGTCATAACCATAAATTCAATTCCAAAAGCCAAAGGCAAAGTGAAGTTCAAGATCCAGGTCTGAACATCAATGAAGCCATGAAGATCCGCATGTATTATCTAGGGTACTCTGAGTGCAACAAAAAACAGACAMACACACTCACAATAATCTTTTTTGAGAAGTGCATGCAAAGTCGTGCTCTTTTGAAACACAATATTAGAAAATCACAATGGAGATAGAGAAAATGTAAAGCCTACCCATGGGCTTTGGTCCTAAGAGTGCTAAGCAGTCCTTGCCACCAAAGCACAGCCTCTCCCCAATTCCCAAACTAAACAAATAGACAGAAAGGGAGGCGCACATTTATGCCACAAAGGAGATGGTCCAGGCTGGGCCACAGAAAATACTAACTAGAAAATTAATGAAATTGAAAAGATGATTAAACATGGTTTTCTTTCCTTAATTGACCACTCTATTGTCCAGTCAGCATTTTCCTACTATTTGGACTTACTTTTGCTCTTACTAATCTAAATAATTTTTTAAAATCTCTTTGACAACCAAATTCCATCACATCCAATAAAATATATCCACCCAAAAGTGTACATCATAATGTCATTCACTCGGTTGAAGAGAAATTCTTCATCACTAGTAATCATCTAACACATAAAATCATTAATCTTGGGATTAAAAAGAATGATGTTTATAAACAGGAAACTAATATCAATGATTTAAGAAATTCTGAAATATTTGAATGACTATAAAATTCAGACATTATGAAATTCAGATAAAAACCTTAATTTATGATGTTTGATAAGAAGAAATCTGTACTATTTATGTTTGCAGATGTATATTCAAAATTCAAAAGTCTGAGAACATTTTGGAGARCAGCTCCAACTTATTAAGACTAAACAAAGTAAACAAGTCAGGTTATGGAACCTGTACATTGTGAAGAGGGATGGAATAGCATTTCTTCATTTTTATTTTCTATTTTTGTTTCATTTGGTATAGAGACTTTGCTTGTGGAAAAACTGTGGTTATATTACCACCAAGCACACAAATGCATAAAGATATTGTATTCACAAAAATCTTGGGAAAACTTAGACAAACAAAGCACCCAAATGCATTGATAAATGTGGATGAATCCACTACAAATATGAAATAAAGTGCTTCGTATCTATCTCCACTAATTATGTGATCGGAAGATAGGTTATTAATAATAGTTAAGAACAATCACTAACAAGAAATACAACATCTATAAGAAAGCCCTAACTAAAAAACATGTTGTATATGAGTAAAATCTTATTTTCCTCCCCAGGTGCTCCATGTTCTTTATGTTTCTGGTCTTCTTTTGTAAGTGACCTTCTCAATGGCATTGCAGCTTAGTGAGGCAGGTTAGGACAGATGAAGGCTTACTATACTTTTTATATAATCAAAACACTGGTTTAGAAAGAAGAGGATGAAAAAGATTCAATGTGAAAAGGACAGWGGATTCACCAGAAGTCAGGTTTAGCAATGGAGAACATTAAAACAAACAAAATCAAAGGAAAAACTGTATGTTGTGCCTCCAATGTTGACTTTGAAATTAGGGGAAGTGAGTGATTAAAAAAAAAAAAAAACAGACTCAAGTTTTTCAATGCTTACTCAAAGAGATTGAAATTCGATAAAAAAATATGTTGAGAAGATTTAACACTATGCCTGTTTTCAGGGGAAATGTTAATAGAACATAACAGGCTGCATCATGATGTTTCTTCAACTGGTGAAAGTTAGCATCACCAAAAATCCATGGGTTTCCTTACTTGTGCATGCCATTGTGGGTGGATCAGAGTCCCTCCTGAAATAATCCTTTTCACAGACACAAGAGGTTGAAGCTTCCTCATGGGTGTAACTGTGAGGTGGACATTTGCTGCAGCTCTGGCTGTGAGGTGAGGCTTTGAAGAACCCAGGTCTGCACACTGTCAAAAGAAATAAGAGACTAAGCTTTTCCCAGGAAGAGATGCAGTGTTTGTTTTGTGAATAATGTATCATTTGGAATAGTATACACAGATTACAGGTAATACAATCTTGGCATGGATTTCAAGAATTTTTCATAAGCTTCTGGATCATAAATATCAGACTATTCATTCAAATAATCAAATATTTATCTAAAGTATTAAAATTAAAAATGTATGGTATGTACATATATGAATAATTTTATGCCACAGGAGCTTATAAGAAATTATATTTATGTAGACAAATGCTTATATGTATTTAAAACTGAAGCAGTGCTGAGTACAATTTTACTTAATATACTGCAACTACATTGGAGAGCTTCAAGTTATACTACATAATCCTACAAAGGAATGGTAGAGGATATACTAAAAAATTTTATATTAAATAGACAAATTAATCATCAGATGCTAAAATTTTCACAAGTTCTGTTATATTGGAGATAGTGCAGAAATCAGTTTTTTTTATCATCCATAWGATATTAACTTCAGAAGTCATAGTTTAAGCATTTGTTATAGATTTTCTCCATTTTTAAACGTTTTCTTTGAGTTTCTTACTAATTTAACATTTATATATTCTGAGATCAGTAATATTTATATTCCATAAACACTGTAATGATTATAAATAATAAAAAGCTAAGTCTTATTCAGTTTTGCATTTACAGTACTTATTCCAGTGTTTGACTGCAACACGGTTTTAAAAAATGACATGAAATGCATGACTGAATCAGTGAAGAGTATTATTGAGCAGTTTAGAATCATAGGAAGGAGATGTTTGCTGATACTTTTGTTARCTTTTCTCAGTTGGTAAACAGGTAAGTAGCTGGTGGTCATGAAGCCAATCTCTTTACTGTGTGAATTCCATACATTTCCATATCCTCCTTTCTTCTCAAAGGGTAATAGAGTCAAACTTCAATGTTCCTATTAGTTAGTCTGGGCCAATTAAAGACTGCCAAACTGATGGTTAGAATACATTTTAGAGCTTATTTTACAGAAAGCTAATAAACTGCATTTTTTTTCCATTTTCAGAATTCACTACATATACTTAAGAGTATTTATTAATTCAAGCATCAAGGCACATTTGCTGAAACTCAAAGGTGAACTTGTATTTCAATAGAAAATTCTGGTAGACATAATGAATTGGAGCTAATTTTCATGTGCTATAAATGATCTGGGGTTTTAGTAATCCATGCTAAGGCTTTTTTCCATCTCCATGAATAATCAGGAATTGGCAAAAATAAGAAGGTACTTTTTCCAGTGGATCTAATTATGGTGATAGTAAAGCCTTAATGCTCTTATAAATTCAGAGAAAATGTGAAGGTATTTGAAAGATAAGAAGAGCTTTTTGATAGTATTAAGGACATTCTTGTAGTAAAATGATTAAGCGAAGATTTAAAATATTATTTTTTCTTATAATAGGATTGCTATAGYAGCCAATGCTATACTTAGCTAAAGTTATCCAATTTTTCTTCTTTTATCCTTTTAGTACAACCATTCTCACACTAAACTCTATTTGCTTTCAAAGGTATGAAATGTCAATCTGCACATTCTGCATATTTGAAATTCATTTATCACTAATGAAACATTCTTTGGTTTATAATGAATGCCATTCAAACTAAAAACTTCATGTAAGATCATATACAACACTATTGTTCAATCCTGCATGGGAGCTTTGGAAACAAGAAATAATATAAATGTAAGTAAAATGTAGATAAATGTACCATTATGTGCTGCAGTCTAACAAATCTGTTCAAGCAAGTGTTATGGGCCAGAAACTTTGCTTGGTAATAGACTGCAATGGTAAACAAGATAGGTAAAGCCTCACCTTTGTGAGTCTTAAAAGTATTGCATAAATAATTACAAATATGATTATCCTAGGAAAGAGAAAGAACAGTGGAAGTGAATATAGACTACCCCATTTAAACAGAAATATCAAAGAAGACTTCTCTTAGGAAACAGAGTCTCCAAAGAAATTTGAGATTAAGAAATCATCCATTTAAGTCTGAGCTTAGCACTGTGTTCAGGGGAGAAATACTTCCAAAGGACCATATGGGATAGAGAACACAGAGAGCAGAAGAAAGTAAAAATGATAAGGGAGACAGTTGGAATAAAGTGGAAGTCACAAATTTATACATCAAAGTGGGCAACCAGTTCACAAAATCAAGATTGCAATGGTTCAAATTAACAATTTTCAACTTTACAACAGTGTAAAAAGACATGCATTCAGCAGAATCTGTATTTCAAAATTTTAATTTTGATCTCTTTCTGGGCTAATAATAAGTAATAGAAATTCTTCACAGTGTGGGCAGTTCAATTAGTCACACCACCTTAAAACCATATACAAAATAAGCTTTGTACTAGATAACTTTGCTTAACTGTATGCTAAAGTAAGTGTTCTGAGCACATTTTAAGAGCATTAGGTTATGCTCTGATGTTTGTCAGGTTAGATGTTTTAAATATATTTTTGATTTATGATATTTTTCAGATACAATGGATAAATCAGGATATAATCCCATGGAAGAAACATATGTATTATAGACTTTGTTTTACAATGAAAATAAGTCATTATAAAAGCTTGACAAACTAAAATTTCATATATTTAAAGTAACTGCATATTTTGAAGTAGGGGATTAATAAGATCAAAATAGCACTTAGGAGTTCATTTCAGAGCTGCAAGAAAATAGATTGGAGAAAGCAAGAACAGAGGCAACTGACACTTTTGTTTTTATATTGGTCGAAAGACAATACTGCTTAAACCAGAGGAGTCTCAGTAGATAAGAGTAGGTGATTATTATTTTTTAAAGGAACAAGACAAAGTCAATTAGATTTCACAGCATATTTAATGGCAGAATTAATAAGAAATTATAATAATTACTGTAAAGTGTTTGGATTAAACTGTACAGGAAAATGCTGGTGCTATTTTCTCAGATTAGAGAACATGAGATATAAAAAATGTTTTAGGGAACAYAATGAATAATGCTTAATGCATTATTTAATTTGAAGGAGCTAATGAAAGCTAAGTATATGTAAAAAAGGAAGACTACATGATTGAATATTATCAGAAAAATATTGGCAACTAATTTTTCATTGCCTTTAGATTCATAACTCCAAAACCCAATGGTATAAGCAACTGTGTTGGAAATCATTATTGCTATTTTCTTAGTTTACTTTATTTCCTAATATTAATGTAATTATATTGAGCATCTTATCTTCAAACTCTTTAAAAGTTATTTTCCTTCATTACAGCTTAATGACTATATTTTCTCTAAATGGAAGTCATTAGAAAAGAAGAAAGAAAATGTCTAATTTTCCTACCATCAAATATCCAAACTTATATGCAGTTGTGCCCATCCACTCTACCTTTCTTCCTATTATAATAAAAATGTCATTCAAACTGAAAACTTCATGCAAGATTATATACAACATTATTGTTCAACCCTGCATGGGAGCTTTGGAAACAAGAAATAATATAAATGTAAGTGAAATGTAGATAAATGTACCATTCTTCCCTGCAGTCTAACAAATCTTTTCAAGCAAGTGTGGTGGGTCAGAAATTCTGCCTTAGTTCATATCAAGGAAAATCTTGACTTAAAATTCCCTCTATGCTGACATAACATCTCAAGTGTCTACAAACATTTTCACTGAAATGAAAACATAATAAACCATTATTATCACTTGATTCCTATCTCCCAGTACCTATTCAACGGTTTTGATCTACTTTCAAACACAAATCCTTAAAAACATTTTTCACAATTATGTGTGTGTGGGCATTTATGTGTGTATGTGTACATATATTTACATACACACATAAATATATATATATATATATATATATATATGTATACATACACACATAAATGCATATATATTATATATATATGCATAATATATATTACATATATATTATTCTAAATAACAAATTGATGCTTTCCACTGAAATTACTGTTTAAAGACTGAAATTACCACATTCACTCCTCACCAGCATTTGAAAATGCTTTCTTTTGGGAAGCTTCAGTTATTTTCATGACAAAATTCCAATATAATCCACAACTTTCCATGCAATATTTAAAAATCCTTCAAATGTTATCTCCATTCACATTCACTGTCTCCATCCACTCTAACCTGCACCTGAGGAACTTCTCTGACTCTCAACTTGGGGAAAATATTCTAGGCCCAAAGCAAGAAATATACATAAACTAATTATTTTTAAAAGGCTTAAAGCCCATGATAAAGAATTTGGATTTAATCTGTAGACATTTGGAATTATTTATTTTTAGAGGGAACACTTCTTGTCAGTACTGTGGCCAGGTGTGTTTGGACTGTGATGAGAAAATAAAAAATTATTTTTCACACCTGTGAAGCTACAAAGTATTGGGAAAGATAAATAATAATCAATAAAAGCAAAACTCACCTTTTACATTTTAATGAAGAAAATGTTTAACAAATAAGTAGTAAAATTTCTCCAAATTCTAATTCAATTTTTTTTCAAAAAYATAGGAAGATACTGGAACACAGTTGTTTTACACAATGATGTCTGTACATTACCTAGATATTATCTAGAAAACAGTATTCAGATTCTGTTTAAGATGATCAAGAAATGGGAGACAACATCTGCACTCTATGTTGATGTTTTATGAGAGACTCTTTTATCAATTTGCAGGAAGGAAAGAAAATATTTTAATAACTAGTTCTATCCATCCAAGCTCATTTTAAACCTATCTTTTTCATGATTGCATGTTCTTTGCCTCTTCATGCCTCATAATTTTGTACAATTTACTTAGCATCTCTCTTATGACGAGAGCAAATATTTTCCATGCCTTTATTTGTATGCATTCTTATCCTCCACCAACTTGTATAAAACTTCTGGAGAACAAAASCATTCATTTGATTTTTATCACATGTAGCACATTTTCTTAAATATCCATCAAAATCTATTGGTGTAAATAGTATTTTTGTGTCCTTCTCAA